CTTGCCAGAGTGGTTTGAACATAAAATTTGTGAGTCTTTGTGAATCTTTTGCGAATCTTTGATTGCATAGATGAACTCCACAGTGATTGCACAGTGAACTCCAGAGGGGAATTATTAAGTCTTTTTAATGTCTGAATACTGTGCAATGCACAGAGCAGAAAGCCATACAGGGAACAAGAAGAGAATAATACCTGAGCCAGTGGTCCATTATGTAATAAGTATTTTTCCTGCACTGAACAAAGGAAGGTCCTGCTGAAAAATAGCATATGTAAATGTGATTGGTGCCTCCACATTATAATGCCTGAAGTCAGAGGAAGTGAATTCATTTTGTGAAAACTAACCCTTACATTTGAGTGCTTGATATTGAAGTTAAATAATATGTTTTTAAAGCAATTTTATTGGAAAAAAAAAAAAAGAAAAAGAAAAAAAAAGAAAAAAAAAGAAAAAAAAAGACAGCTTCTGTAAAATCTGTGCAGAAATGTTCTTTATATTACTAACACAAATATGAAAAAAAAAAAAAGGAAGCTATTTGAATATCCCAGATGTTGATGACTGTGATGACTGAAGAAATATTTCCATTATACAAGTGAAGATGTCTCTTAGAGTTACAAATTTGTTTCCATATATTGTACCTGCATATGGACAGAGGGAGAAGTAATTTATTACTAATTTTTTACTGTAATTATTACTAATTTATTACTGTAATTTATTTTTCATATAAGTGTTATATATTATCATTTAACATAAGTTTTCTGCTGAAAATGAACAATAAAATTTATTTTAAAAAACATACAAATTAAACATTTATGTCTGAAATTCTGGGTTTCTCTAGAGATTACATATAATTTTATAAAATCCTGGAAATCCCAGACAAATTTTGTTGTCCTATTTGCCATTATCTGTTTCTCTAGATTAGAAGGAAGAAGTCATATGGGAAAAAATGCAAACTTAAAAACCTCTAGTGCCAGCAATAACTACTACTCTGGATCTTTTCACTTACTTGAATAGGAACTAGTCCAAAATAATGGATAGAGAATGACTTTGGGATTCAGTGATCTCATTAAAAATCCTAACTTGGCCATTAATTGACAGGCTAAGTGATGTTGGCCAACTCCATTATCTTTTTCTGCCTTGCTTCACCTTGAAAATAGTGTTATTAATATATTTCATAAGGTGCTGTAAGACCTCATGACAAAAAAAATAAAAATTATAATAGCTTTGCTTTCCTAAAAGCTACTATTGAAATAATCATCTGTAATTAAAGTGCTGCTGCATGTTATATTGAAATGTGAGCATTCTGATATTTACCAATTTACCTTTTTTTTTCTCATCCCTCCTCCCCAACATACACCTACACATTATTTTGACACATATAAAAATATTTTCATGAATCTATCCCCACGCTCCTGCAGGTCAAATGGCTTCCCCAGTACATAACTACAAAAGAATCAGCTGTCTTAAAAGATGCTTGAACAATGTGGCTTTTCAGTTCACATGATATATGAGAAGGAAAACTTTCAAAATACATTCCCTAGAGTCACCATTTAATAGAGCCAAGTCACAGATACAAATGGCAATGACACTAACACTGGTAGCTTTGTCTCTTGCTTTTTCTTTGAAACTATTTCAAGACATGATCCTATGGTAATAACAAAAGCCATGAGAAACTATTATACTTGGAAGTGGTGGCAGACCCTATGTCATTTGTTGCCACAGCAGGAAACTTCTGAGAATGCCCAAGATGAGGTATCATAAGACAGGCAATTCAAAGTGAATCCCACGTGCTATTTGTAACTCACATACACAGCATGTCTTTTGCAGCATGAAACTAAGCCATTTCACAAATATAACAGAGGCTGTTGCATAACTTTCACATGCTTGATAAAAATCCTGTTATTATTTTTGGAAAATGACCTTTGGTAAAAACTTTGTGCAATAACATCTTTGGCATGAGGAAGCAATGATCATCATTTCACTTCATACGTAATTGATATTCAGTGCACAGCTTTCCCAGGGCCTGTGGCAAGCCACAGTTCAGATACTGGACTTTCTCCAAGCTAACATGGAGAAATGCTAGCTTGAGGCCTAGGAAAACAAACAAACAAACAAAGAAAAAACTGCATGGGAGTGTCCCTTCTTCCTTTGATGCAGGGACACTCTTAGCTACCATGCACAGAAGCCTCTGTTACTGTCTCCCAGCCTCTTGTGAGCAGAGGGAGCCCATTTTAAAATAAATAAATCCACGTGCAACACAATCATTCACCTTTCCTCTCCCACACCCTTTTGGTAGCAGGAGAGGATGGAAGGAACTTCATCACTGATGGACACATCTTCCCATGCCTCTCCTTCGCATTTCTTCTTTGCTGTTCAAAATCCATTCCTGACCAAAGTCAAACTGCTGTGCTGGATGCCTGGATAATAACTGGTCTAGGTTCTGCAACCTTTGCACACTACTGCAATGAGTCCCAGTGTGCTCTTGCTTCTGAAATTAACAGTTATGTACTTGTAAATCCTCTGGTTTGTTATTTGGAGAGATTAGCCAAAGGATCTTTGCATATGAGATGCAGGTGAAGCAATATGAATTACAGTAGATGCTAACCAAGCAATTTAATTAATTTATTAGTTAATGATTTCATTCAGACATGGCTATAATTTTAGAGTTACAATGCTGCTTAGTAATGTTGCATTAGGATCTGAGCAAGCAGGCTGTGGAAACTGTAGACCAGTCATCTGTATACAGATAGTGGATTGAAAATCTTGATGTACTAATCAGTATCTTGGCTAATATGAAGTATGAAAACAGCATGATTTTCTCTCTTTTATAGCTTGACAACAACTATAAGACTGTGAGCATTCTGATAGCACAGCTTGTCATATATGAAGTATTTATTAGACATTTTCCTTCTACACAATGAGTATTTCTAAAGTGAGTAGTAACTGAAGAGATCAGGAAGCCGTTAAACTATGAATAAGTATTTGTCATCATCCAAGTTACTGTTTTTACTTCTTTCGCTTCTGTAAAACCTTTTTTCTTAGAAGTCTGTATGCCATAACCACTTCTGAATATTTATTCCTGGATCTGTTTTCTCTCTAGCACTTCCTCCCATTGATGTATTTATAAAACACCTTATGTTCCTTAATTCTTTTGCCTGGCAGGAATATTTGGCTATCAATGACTTCAGTGTCAACATTCCTGCAAAGTTTTACACTTCTAAGTCAAATGCAAATATCTGACATTTATTAGAAAAATCTATACGGATACAGGGAACTCACTATTAACAACAACAACAGAAGTAAGAAGAAAAAAGTTACCAGAATTTTTCATTTGTAGGTGACCCAAAGCATCAACCTATGAATGACACAACAATCTCACAAATTACTTGTTTTGGATTATTAGCATCCTGAGCTAGGACAGCATTGTGTTGTACACTGCAAACCACGTGAAACTTCCACAAAGAATAAAAAAATAATTGCTTTTTGATGCTTGTAACATATTACATTCATCATCACTGTATTTGCTGCAACAGCTCTGAAATTGCTTTAGCCCTACCTATCTGAGAACTAAGTGTACCAAGTTCCTTGCCAACTATGTGAAGTCAGATTACTATTTCTGCCTTCCCAACCCTTAAGCAAGGTTCAAGTCTTTTGCAGTCCTCACTGTACAGCTGTACAGTTGGATTTTCAAGTACATTGAGGCTTTGAGAGACTATCAAAACAGTAATTCCAGTTCTTTTTTTTTTTTTTTTTTTTTTTTTTTTTTTTTCCCTCTACTTGTCTGTTCCCAAGAACATTGTATCATTTGCCAAGTTAGCTGAGGAAAGGTGTACTTAACTTACTAGAAAGGAAAGTCATGCAACTCCATGTGAAATAGTTATTCTTTTAAGAGATAAATAGAGTTTAAATTGCAGATGTTCTTATGCTTTCACATGTAATTTGCTACTCAGCATGGGTGTGTATATTCAGAGATCAACACAGTTTTTCAGGGAAACAGGCTGTTTTCAAATGACTTTATTTAATAAAAGACTATTTGAAAAATTACTTTCCAGAGGCTGCTATCAGAAAAGCACACTTGTACCAATAGCCTGTCAACTTTGTTGTGTTGTAAATTATCCAATTCCCATTAGAACAGATGGAGTGTGGCAATTAGATGATGCCTCATACAGGACCATCTGAATTTTATTAACTGATGTCTTTGCTGAAACTAAAAGCTGGAGAATGCACTGAAGTATTTCTGCTTAGTTCGATCACACCTTAAATGAGATCCTTCATCTTAGTTTTGTCAAGTGGGGTAAATGCAATTATACTGAATATTTGTTTTAATGAACTGCCATTATATTGAATAACTCAAGTGTTGAAACTTCTGTCATAGAATACAACATTTTTGTAAAGATTTTGAAAGAAAGATTGACCCTTCCTAGTCTGTTCTTTTTAGTGACTATTTTGCATCACCAATAGCCCCATCAGTGATCTTAAAGCATTGGGTATTAAAGCATTTTAACATGGGGTGTTACAATTTCATGGTTCTGTAAAGGGACTTAATCAGACACTCCAGATTTCTTATCCTCTACCATTTTTCCAAGTTTTCAGTCACACCCAGCCATTAGTTCAGATATCCTACCTATTAAGGTTTCTGATCTGTCATTTTGTTTATCAAGGATCCATTTTCAGAGGCTTTTCTTCTGGAATGTACCTTAGATAGCTTTTCAGCCATAACCTGCAAAGCTTGTAATGCAGAGATAGCTGGAAGGAAAGTAGCAACAGAGGAAGGAATGGAGAACAGATGGAAGAACTCTTTTTCTACAGTTTTCTAGGGTGGGTTCATCAGAAAGGTCCATTGCATGTCAAGTTCTAGAAGCATTCTGAAAAAGATGAAAACCCCTGAGAATTTACTAAGCTATTTAACTGGTAGTGTAAGACTAACATAATTACAGTACTTCATGATATTACAGTGCTTCATGATTTATATTGAATATATAAAGGAAAAAAAAATACAGAAGTCATTTTTGAAGGTATAGTTTTATAGCAGTAAGTTAAAGAGAATTGAGTGCATCTACATGACAAAGTTTAAACAGCAAAAACCAGCTCAGATTATAACCCTAATAAAATAAGACCAGAACTGATTTGTTAGAATTTTACTTCATATTGCCGCATGAAGCAAAACTGTCCCAAACCTATACAGAAAGTGGATAGAAAATTAACAATTAAATTTGAAGCAATTTGGAAATTTATAATGCATCCCTAAAAGGGATGTGGCATTTAGCTAAACACTAAAGACAGAAGTAATACCTTTGGGCTATGGTATTTCCATTCTTTTGCACTAATAAAGAAAAAAGTTGAAACTTCATCTTTTTTTGTTTTGTTTTGTTTTGTTTAATATGGTGATTTAACTTCCCTTTGCATTCATCCATTTTCCCCATCTTCTTCTCACCTTTCCTCAGGTGTCACACACACAGCATTTTGACTGTTTTAGCCCTGTGGTAGTATTACAATTTCAGCAGGAGGAAGTAGAAATGATTTACTGTGTGCAGATTTAGACTAGCTCCTCAGAACCTTCCTGCTTCTCTTACGAAGGTAAAGTGTTCCAGAATGGGAGAATCTAGATAGGAAGGAAAGCTGTAACATTACTATCTAGATAGATACAAACCTAATTTTGTTTATTTCCTGGCTCTGACAGAAGTTTCACAACTTTGAATGACTCAGTCATTATGAGCCTAGTTTCTCACTTGTAAGAGACTATTTCTTTGACTGTCATTGTGCTGACAGTTGAATCTCTACATGTCTTGACATCAGAGATGTACATTGTGTAGGAGTGTAGGCAATACTTCTTTTAACTGCCAGACAGGAGAGCAGTAAAGAACTCCCAGCTTGTGGGTTGTTTTCTGTTTTGTTTTGATGTAGGTTTTTTTGTTTGTTTGTTTGTTTGTTTTCAGATGTGGTGGGGGTGGCTCTTTTTCAAGTTTCCTGTGTGTGTGTATAAGAAGTTTTCAGTTAGGCTGAAATATATACAAAGTCCAGGGACATGAAAATTCCAGAACAAGTAGATTTGCCAGTTCTGGAAACAGTGGTACTTTTATTACAAGGTAAATATTTTAGGCCATTTTTTTTCAGGCCTCCTCTTTCTCTTCATCATTTTTTTTTTTTTTGATTTATATATATACATTTTTTTTTTTTTTTTTCTGAGAAGCTGTAAATTTTAAGGGCCTAATTTAAGATAATCTGGTTTGGTCTTTGCCTAACACAGGCCATAAAAAAACACCAATAATACTTTTAGTGGAACACATCATTTTCCCCTCCTATGTAAGTGAATGCTGTCAAGCTCAATAATTTGTACTTTTCAAAAGCATAAAAACATCCTGTCTCAATTTATGGAGTCCTAGAGATGATGAGTTTCCTTCTCTTTGGAAATGGATGATTACTATCACTGCATAACAGGTGTTTCTAATTTTTATTTTCAACCAGAAACAAATCTGGGGTTGTCATATGATATAGATGAGGATGGCCTAAGAGTTTGTCACACCCACAACAAGGGACAAAATATTCTACTTTATATCTGTGTGTACATCTTTGCTCTGCTGGCTTTTATAAATATTTTTTTTGGTTTTGTTTTGTTTTGTTTTGTTTTGTTTTATTTTGTTTTTAATGGTTGGCTCCACTTCAACTCCTAGTTTACTTTTATCCGATTTCATGGTAAACCACACTTAAATGTATTCCTTTCTCAGACCTCTCAAAAGCTGTCTCAGGACACAGAAAAATTAAGGCAGATATTATCCAGTATGTCTGTCTGTGAGGTAACAGTCAATTGTATGTTAATGTTGTTTTCTACCCTACTCTACTGTATGTGTTAGGAGAAAAATTATGGCAGCACAGTTCAGTTCTGAGATTCATGATTATCTGCCTTGTGAGCTAAGCATCTGCCAAGCATAAACTACCCACTTCTGCAAAACTCACACTGGGACCTCAACTACCAGATGCAACTGGTCATATCTAAGTCTGCCTTGACAGCATTAGGCACATGGGATCACAGAATAGGAGAGTCCCAGCACATTAAATGCCAGAAATATTAGTGCTGTAGCAAGGAAACTTGAAATGGGAGAAAGACAGATACAAATGCGTGAGTCATACCAAGCCCATTTTAGTACATTTCAATACTTTGGTGTGTTAAAAAATAAAATAGCAACCTCTCCCATACAAAAATAAATAAATAAATAAAATCCTACAGATGAAGTTTCCCTATACTCTTTATTAGTTGGTGGTTTTCCATTCTCAGTGACAATCTTTTCTGTAATTCATAAAATCATGCATTTTTCATACATCCATTTCTAAAAGCATTGATAAAAAATCTGTCTCAGTACTGTAGTAGCTGCACTAATAAACTGAATCTGAGTCTATAGCTGTTTGCACTGATTGTGAATCAAAATGCTACTTGGGGAGTGTCATAGCGTAAAAACAAAATGAAACAAAATGAAACAAACAACAACAACAAAAAGTAATAAGGAATTCCTGATAAGGAATATAAGGATATTAATCGACTTACTTGATGAACACATTTCTTGCATACTACTCTGCAGTTCTATTGTCATTCTGTAAATTCATATGTGAAGAGTTTTTTTTTGAGGCCAATTCGTGATTTAAAACTACAGCATTACGAACCCAATAACTAAAAGACTTTAACAAGTGACCATGACATTAGCTTAATGATCATAAAAATTTATTGGTTCTGAACTAGCTTCTCATATTTAAAGAAAAAAAAAAAAGGAAGGGGGGGAGAGGGTCTTGTTTTCAGGCAGTTCTGCAAAATCAATAAATTTATTCCCTTCCTCACTCCTGAAAGTAGAGAATCCCGTGTAATCACAAAACTCAAGAAGTTAGATTATCAGAAGAACACAGTTCATAACACATTCTCTTGCCATCCTTACAAAGGGATTGTTGAGGAACACTCATCTTACAGCAGAAGCTGTGAAATGGCTTTGCTTCCCCTACATAGTCATATATAAGCAATATATCTTATTATATCATTATATATATATCTCATTATATCATATATATCTTTCCTGAAACTCATGGAATTTTACAGCAATTAAACAGTTACACAAGCACAGGACTTGGCCTTTCCCTAAATGCCTATGTTGCATAGCTCAAATATTGACTTAACTACAAACACTCTTGGCCTGTAATTTTAGACATCGAAACCAAATACACAAAATATGTCTTGGAAAAGAATGCTGAAAACAGCAATGATATGAAAGTGGTTAATCTTTACAGAAAAGAATTGTACAATTTTTCTTCAACACTTGATCTAAAATATATTTATATTACCAGACCGACCTTTGTTAAGAAATGAAAAACAACTGAATACCTGCTTGTTAATACAAAGTTCTCCCACAGAAAGGGAGTGTTCAAATTTACAGAACAAAATTGTTTGCATAGTAAAATAATAATCAAAAAATTGTAGCCCTCAAAGGCAAATATATGCAGCCCTCAAAATGGTGAATGTTACAAGGGAAGTTCTGCTTCTTGGGGTCATAATCAGTAACACCATTCATGACCATTTAACGAACATTATCAAATCCATGTATTGCTAATCTGCTGTTCTGGAAATGTGTGACTGTGCAGTACAGCCCTGGGTTTATGATTGACCTGGCTCTTTTTGACATGACAAGACCAGAAAATAAATAGTACCAGTTCATAATTTTGTTAGCAGAATCCAGTGCAACTATAAATAATTTAAGAAATACTTCAATTAAGACTTATGTTACATAAAAGAACCTTCTGATCCATTTAAACTTTTTCATATATAAAACAGAATGAAGGTAAGGGCAATTTACTGTATGCAAACTATTATACTAAAATACTTGGTGAACCTCCTCTCAAAGGAATTCTATATACCTATTTTATGAATATTTGAGCAAAATAAAATATAGAGTAACTGCAGTGTAACTACTTAATCTGCAGTTTAAAACAAATACATGAACTCAGAAATCAGAAATAAAGCAGATCTGATGTAAAATAAGACTGAACATAAAATAAAAGCAAGATATTTTATGTTGGAAAAATTCTAAAAAAAGTAAAAATCTGATCTAACCAACTGAATAACTCAAAAAAAAAAAAAAAAGTACAAATATGAACATAATGGAAATTGTACAGAGCTGCAAAAAAGATAAGACTGATATTTAGGTAAAGTGTGAAGAGTTGAATCAGAAATGGGGAAAATGGCAAAACAAGCTTTATGTTCACATAGTCTGTGACAACCTGCAAAAGAATTTAAATTACAGTGAACACTACATATACATATATATATATATATTATATATATATATATATATATATAAAATTTCTTGTCACTAGAGTTTAATACAGAAGATGTACTACTATTGTAGGTCATGAGTGACAAAAGCTCTCTAAATCAAAAGGTCCCTGTCTAATATTATGCCTAACTACTTTCTCATGTAAATAACTCCTTTTCCTTGTAACTGACTTACTGACGTATTATTCGCAAGACTGCACTGGTGAAGTGCTCAGATGTCCTTGTGTACTTTTCTACCTCTATGCACTGCAGAATGAAAAAAAAAAAAATTACCACAGAAAATAATTGAACTAACTGTTTGACTTTCTTCAGTTAATACTATAAGCTCCCTCCAGCTTTCATAGGATCAAATGGAGCTTCTGGCTGCCTGCAAACTTTTTGTAGGAACTGGGCTTTTTGCTTTTATTCTTTCTTAACTGGATCCTAACAAAAGTTATTTTTAAAGTAATCTCCCTCTCCCCTCAAAAATATTATTTCCTGAAAAATGCTTACCAATGAATGGACTGAAGATCACAAATTAAGTTTTCAAATATTTACATGAATTAAAATCTCAACCAACAGGCTAGTCAAGCAAAATACGCATACAGTTATTGCATAAGCCAAAACCTGCATTTACATGCAGAAAGACTACATTTCTCACCTTTACTGGGGATTCAGCTGACAAAGCTAGCACAGTCAAGAGTTTCTGTCATTCTTACAGTACATGTTTTTGAAAATGGAATGATCAGTTGGTTTTTGAATGAATCATTGATATGAAAAACTTCAAATTCCAGTTGAATAAGATAGAAATCTACTATGTATCATAAAATGTACCTAATGCACCTAATTCATAATTCAGAAAAAGCAAAATACTGCCCAAACCTAACTACATGTACTTATTTGGAAATATTTCCTGGGTGAAACCTGAAGGCTAGTCAAATATTACAAAGAGATCTTATGGAAAAAAAAAAAAAAAAAAGTGACTGGATTCCAGCTGGACCAAATCTATTGGACATGAAAGGCAGCTGTAAATTTGATTCCAGAAATTCAGTCTGCAAGCATCTCTCTGAAAATCTGTTTGATGTAGGACATATAAATGAAAAATTATAATCTGTTAAGTATTAGAAAGAAACAATTTCTGTGTGTATTTTCCATCCCAGCAAACGATTCTTTGTAAGACAATCATTTCAGTCATGGAAAGTTCTGTTTGAGAACAGACTATAAGACTTTGTTATAGTGTAACATGCTCTGGGTTGCTTGTTAAAATAAATTTAAAAAAAGTGACAACAAAATAACTTTGGAATGATAGTATTACATTTTACGAAATGTTGTGTCACAAACAAAATAGAATCCTAAAAAGTAAACTACATTCATTTGAACACATTTCAGATTTTATAAAATGTCAAATAATTTAGATGCTTTTCAAATACTGTAGTAAAATACCCAGAAGGATAAACACCACAGCTCTAGGAAAAGAAAATATTATGCATATAATCATGCTGAGCATGCAACTGCAAGCTTACTTAACTTGCAAGACCAGAAAAGATGGTCTAAGGTAGGTTTAGAAAAAAGTCCTTTGGATTAGAGACTTCTGTTCTTACGTGCACGTACCACTTGCACTATTAATGAGCATATTCATCATTAGCAAGGATATTTTATTAAAAAAAAAAAAGTTTCATGAGATGAAAATGGAAAAAAATATGTATATTTAAACAGAATGAACAGTTGAGTATATTAAAAAGTTAGCAAGGAATGCTCACATATTACTAAAGAAAATACAACATGCATCACACACAAAGTAATTCAAATTACTATTTGCTTAAAGCTAAATACATCAGTACATTGCTGAATTAGGTTCATAAATCTAGATTTTTGTCTCTCCAAAGCATGAACACAATTAAGCAATCAGAAGTAGAAATGATACGATTTTGTAATAATGATTTGTTACATTACATCTGTTTATGTCTTTGCACAGTTGAAATATGCAAAAACTAACAAATGATGATTCTGGGCATGTAGAGAAATGAAGAGCCTATTAATCTTAGCAGCCTAAAGCTGCAAGTTGAAATTCACAGACATGAGAGTTTCAATCTGTCAGTATCATATAATAGAATATCCTTTGTCAGCAATCTGTATGTATATATGGAACATAAGGCAGCCAGTAGAAAAATCCCTGAATGTACAATCTGAAGATAAAGATATTATCTATTAGTCTGAAGTAATAGAAGTTTTTGGGCATTGCTCAGTTTTCCAGGGGAGAAAAAAAAATAAAAAATATATATATGTAATAACACAGTAATTTTTAAGCATATAAGTGGATATTAAATACTGTAAATTTATGTATAATAAAATGATAATTGTATTTTATATTTGCCTTGTAAATGAAAGAGTCATCATTAAGGAACTTAAGTAGGTAATTAAATTGACTCATTTGCTTTCATCAAATTTGTAAAAGTATATAGTAAGTTGTGAAGAAACATGAGACTGGGGACTTTGTTCCATGGAAATTTTCATAGTTATATTGGTTACAAATATAATATTATGTTATGTGTTACTATTTAAGTATGTAGGAGCCAGTACACTTTGTATTAGCCAAGTGTCAGTACTGTTTCATTTCAGTATTATTAGCCTAGGTGACAGTCACTGAAGATCTCTGCCTAGATTCATATCAGGAACATCCCAAAACAATCAGGCTGACTCTGACCCTACTCACTTTGTTATTCCTTTCACTCTGTTTTTTTTTTTTTTTTTTTTTTTTTTTTTTTTTTCTTTCTAAAATTTATTATTCTTTCAAAACCCCATTGTACAGATGAGTGTAAAGTACTGAATTTCCTTTCATTACTCTTTGACATTTCCTGTTTTCTCTCCCTGGGTAGAACTTTTCTCTCCTCTTATGTAAGACTTTTTTTGAACTTTGTCCATAAGTATAACATACTCTGTGGAATTTTTTATAAAATAAACCTCAAATGTTAAGATGTTAAGAGAATTGACTTAAAAGAATGTCAGAAAATGAGACAAAATATTTGGGTTTGCATTTCCTTCTGGAAATAATTAAAAAAAATGTAGACAGTTAAGGCAAAGTAAAAACGATTGAGTAAGGAGCATAAGGGATGATAAATTCTACTTTTAGCAACCTGAAAATACGTTAAATGAGTGCATGAAAAGTGTATAAGCAGATAAATAGCAAAGAGTTCATACAGTATTTAATTATCTTGTACATTCATTTAAATTCAGAAAGAATTTTTTTTATGAAATATCAAATTATAAGCTTCAAAACATTGTGAATTGTGTTATATTATTTTATTAAGAAATACTCTCTCAACCTATTTTTCCTATTTTCTTTTAAAACACAATAATACTCTAAAGATCTACATGTTGCAGGGGATGTACAGTCAAAGCACATATTGTGGATAAAGATCATGGCCAAAAACCAGTACAAGTTCCTATACGTAAACTAACTCTGGTAGAGTGTGAGTGGAAATTATTTCCCACACAGGTCTTGTACTGGCCTGCATAGGTATGAATATTATTCTGCTTGAATTTTTATCCCCTAAGTATTAAAAAAAAAAAAAAAAAAAAAAAAAGGACTCAGTAGAAATAACTATTACCTACATTCACAAGAACTCAGAGAATCCATTAGCCTCCTCTCAACATTCAGAGTTCTGCACTTGTCAGAGCGATACCACTGATTTCAAAAGATGCTGACTTGCATTAATAAATTATTACAGAGATATTTGATATATTTCCATCAGGAGCTGATGAGTCTACATATGACATTATTACTGAAGTATTCAAATAACATTGTATGATAAAAACACAACACAAAATATATTAAGGTAACTAACACATATTCCTGGAATAAAAACTCTATAATATCCAGGATCCAAAAATCTTTTTTTTTTTTTTTTTTTTTTTTTTTAAAAAAAAAAGCAACATGAAAACTGATTTTTTAGACTTTTTTTTTTTTTTTTTTTTTTCTGTATTAAATATATGTTAACCAGCAGTCCTAGCACTTCTGTCATTTTAGAATACAGATGGTTGACAGACATTTAAGAGAAGAAAAATATAGGAAAGGAAAGCAGTGCTCCTGAAAGTATATTTATTCCATCCAGGTATTGTCCTTTCATTTACTTTGAAGGCTTTTAATTCCAGGATCTGTTGGAACTTTGTTGGAGCTAAACTTTAGAAATGTTGTAACTCTTTCTCCATTCAATTCATTTAATCAGATTTACATTATGTTTTCAAAAGCCTTAAACAGATTGATCTGCAAAATAGAAACATGGCAACCCTCGGTGTGCAATCCAGAAATTATTCATGTTCTCTCTGTTAGCAAAGTTCTAGCTCAGAGTTAGAAATCTTGTTCGGTAACTGAGAAGACATATACTTCAATTCTGAATTTACAAGTGATCTTAATGACTACTTCCCAAGTGAAATAATTTGACACTCTCCTCTCCCTCACTCATGGCCCAATGTTTAAATTGGATCAGTTTTAGTTGTATTCTAAAGTTCTCACCAAGGAGATAACGAAAGGGCCATATTGCTGCTCCAAATCAGTACTGGACAGGATTGGACAACCTATCTGCTATTTGAGAAGAATAACTACCTGGCACTTGGGAACCAGTAGCCACAGCCAAAAATGTCTGGCCCCTGCCTGTCTCTTGTTTTATGTATGATATGGTAGTCATGATCTGAGGAGGCCAAAGACTTTGGTTCCTACTGGTGAGATAAGCAGGAGAAAGCCTTCCTGAAAATGCCCCTGGGGCTAGGTGTGAGCTTGGGATTTGATCAGCTCACAGAAACAGGAGGTAGGCAGTTCTGACATGCCCGCTGGCAAAACTGTGTGTCCATATACCGTCACCATGGCAACTGCAGGGTAACAGCAGAGGAGCAAGAGTTTTAAAGATCTTAGTAGCAGTTAGACCCTGCTGAAAGACAATGGAAATTAACTACCTATGTGTGTAAAGTCATTTTTAAATTGGGACATAGGTGGTTTTGAACCTACCATCCTGTTAACTCAGCACTACGTTTAAATATATAGCATAAATGCAATTGCATTTTTTTGTCTTGCAGCATCATAAAAACTAATTTTTAACAGACTACATGCTTGATTATATTATATTCCAGGGAAACTCCAGCTGAATAAAGCTTATGTAACAGAGCAGAAAATCAATCTCTCCATTTAGTTGGGTCTAATATATAATTCACATTCCTTAAAAGTTAGAGAGATGTAGATGTGAAATAAAAGGTTGTGGGATATCAAAGCTCCAGGCTTTTGGTTCAAGCTAGTCAGAATGCTGCTGTTTCACTGAATATTACAAGGTCTAAACAGTACGTCCCAATTTAGCAAAGCCAACAACTTTGCACCTATTAGCAGTGAACCCATGAGACTGCCTGTGCATTTAATCACAAGTATACTTTTAAGCACATAGACACTGTTTACTTTGCTAGAGTAGTGCCACAGTTGCAACATCTTAAGGGGGTGGACTCTCAAGACAATAAAGTTTACCTATTCTTCTACGTATCCCTCAAAATGTGACTTTTCAAAAATGCATGACTGTTTTCAACTATGTTGATAACAGTACCATGTCCCCAGAAGTAATTTCAGAGTCCTGACTGTGTGTAGAGCTGATTCCAGTGTCAGAGTCTGTATCATTTATGTCCAGATTAGTCACTCTGTGAACAAAGTCAGGAACTGCAATGCTGGTACTGGAATTGCCACTGCCCTTGGGTGGTTCTTCATTCAATGGAAGCCTAGTTTCGATGTTGTCTTTAATATGTAGTAAATTAAATTCTTCTGTAAGAAGTTCATACTCTTTTTCCTTCTTTTGAAGCAATGAGTCCCTGTAGGTAAGCTCTTTCTGAATGCAGCTCAGGTATGAATTGATTCTCAGACCATCTTTCATACTTTTTTCCAGCTCATACTTTACACTTTCCAAATTTGAGTTTTCCAGTTGAGCATGAGAAGCTCCTTCTGTGTGAATATCATCTCCTTTTTTTTCTGAACATATACCATATACTTCTTTCTCAATTTCAGCACACAGCTTCTCTATTAATTGTTTGTGATGTTTCAGTCTCTCTTCAACCTGTAAAATTCCCTCACTTTTGCTGAAATATTCGTGCATCTCTTTTTGATCATCTGGCCTACTCCCTTGCTGCTCAGCCTCACTTGGATTGATTGTTAAATATGAGTTCTGCACATAATTTTCTCCATCATTGGCTACACGGTCTAAATGGAACTGTGCTTCACATTTTTCGATTTCCATATCTAGTTCCTTCATTCTAAGGACTTGCTGATGAATGGTATGATCTTGAGATATAATCAGATGAATCAGCGTCTCCATATTATCTCTGTCTTGCTGAACACTGTCCTGTTTAAGTTTGGCCAGTTTCCGGAAAGTCTTCCTGACGATTTTCTTTTGCTTGTCTATTGGCAACATCTTCATGTAATTGGCTGGGCTGAGTTCCCACTGCTTTTCAACATTTTGTACTACCTTAGCTTCAGCTGTTTTCCACAATGGAAATGAGAGGAAAGCATCAGACTTTACTAACACAAAGTGCAAATTGGGCTGCTCTTCCCCCCAGGCCTTCCAAAGTCTCAGAATCTTTGTCAACGGAGGAAGGACTCGCTCAGAGCCTCTCCATTTTTCTACAATACAGTAATCACTGGGTTTTCCAAAGAGGACCTTTTTCTCTCCAAATGTTGCTTGATGTTCCTCAAGTAGTGCTTGAATCACTTCTGCACAAGTTGTGCGTTTTGTCAGGCCACATACAATCTTCTCTTCCTGGCAAACCCACACCACAATCTCTCTTTCATTTGAAGCCATCTCCTTGCTGGGAGATCTAAAAAAAAAAAAAAAAAAAAAAAAGACCAAATTTAAATAGAATTTAATTTTGTTACGGTTTAACCCAGCTAAGCACCACACCACACTGCCATTCACTCCCTTCACTTCCTCCATGGAAAATAGCTAAAAATATAGAATAAAATTCATGGGCTGAGATAAAAACAGTTTGATTGGACAGCAAAGGAAGAGAAAATAATAATAATTAATAATAATAATAATATATATAAACAAATTAAGCACAATGCAATTGCTCTTAGAATCACAGAATTGTAGAGGTTGGAAGGGACCTCCAGAGATCATCATGTCCAACGCCCCTGCCAAAGCAAGTTCCTTAGAGCAGGCTGCCCAGGTAGGCATCCAGACAGGCCTTGAATATCTCCAGAGGAGGAGACTCTACAACCTCCCTGGGCAGCCTGTTCCAATGCTCCGTCACTCTCACCATGAAGGAGTTTTTTCACATGTTGGTGTGGAATTTTCTGTGCTCCATTTTTTGACCATTGCCCCTTGTCCTAACCCCACAAACCACTGAAAAGAGGTTGGCCAAATCCCACTGTCTCCCACACTTAAGATATTTGTAAACATTGATAAGATCCCCTCTCTTCTCAAGGCTGAACAGACCCAGGTCTCTCAGTCTTTCCTCATAGGGAAGATGCTCCAGGCCCTGTATCATTTTTGTGGCCCTCCGTTGGACTCTTTCCAGAAGATCCCTGTCTTTTTTTGTACTGGGGAGCCCAGAACTGGACACAGCACTCCAGGTGAGGCCTGACCAGGGCAGAGTAGAGGCTTGAACTGCTGGCCACTCTCCTTTTTATGCTCACAACCTGCTGACCAATCCCCAGCCCCTCTCTGAGCAGCTGTCCCATACCTGGCCAACCATCCCAGTTTTATAGATCAGCAGTACACCATATGGTATGAGACATCTCTCTTTGGCTGGTTTGAGTCAGGTGCCCTGGCTGTGTTCTCTCCCAGCTCCTTGTGCAACCACAGCCTCCTCACTGGCAGGCCAGCACAAGAAACTGAAAAGAACTTGAATTATTGTAAGCACTGCTTGGCAACAACTAAAACATCAGTGTGTTATCAGCATTATTCTCATCCTAAACCCCAAACTCAGCACACACCCCTATGAAAAAACAAACAAACAAAAATAAAACAAAACCAAAAACCTCTATCCCAACCCAAACCAGGTCAAAATGGCAGAGACTACATGAATAACAGCTATAATCCTAATATACCTACAACATTGAAAAATTCCTATTTTCCTGTACAACACAATATTGTTTAAATTACATGAAGAAATACTTTTGGAATCGGAAAATTATGCCTATTTCAGCTTCTTCTCTAATATTAATGCTAGCCCAGGTAAATGTGCATCTCCCACAAAAATGTATTTCATCATATTTATTTTTTGTACACTTATCAAGTGTTAACTATCAATAAGTGTCAAAGTGTGGCAATCTGCATTAAATTTCCAGACTGTCCTAGAGTAACATACAGATCTACAGCAGAGTAACTTTCAGTTATGCATATCTGTTCTCATCACACAAACACTGCACAATTTAGGAGCTCTTAATATCACCCAGGGATATTCTGTAGGGAAGAATCATGCTTCCAAATAGATACTGAGCATAAGTGGACTTTGAAATACTGCTGAAAATGAGAGAAGATAACAGAACTTGATGGCAAGATAGATCTGTAGTTCTGCCACATCTGCATTTTCAAGCAATACAGATTCTTTTTCAAAATATAACATATGAATGCAAGAAAAATTTAAAAGCTTTAAGATACATTCTATTTATGAATTTCAATGAATGTGGTATTAACCTGACCTTACCAACTGGTACCACTTTACAGATAGAGACATCTAAATTCAAATATCTAAGATCCCATTATAATTGTTGTTGTCTAATCAATATAATCAGCAGAGCCTAGAGTGTGATTCAGATGACAAACATGCAGAAATTTTACTTTAGAGATAACTTTTTTGTTTGGACTGCCATAGATTGTTCAATGACACAAGGCCACTGCCAATGTAAGAGATGTAGCTGAAAGGAGAGGAGGGTGTGATGTCCAGGACATTCCTATCTTCTAGCCTCTACATGAATAATTTTCGCTTACCCAGATCTGGTGATTTGGCTTCTTGCCTAAAATGATAAAACAATAAATTCTCTGAGCAAAAATGCATATCTTTAGATTTTCTGGTATCACTTCCAGTTCATTTTAATGAATGGGATTTAACCCAGTCTGATGGGGAAAGCCTGAAAATGATAATGAAAATTTTGACAGTATTCTAAGGGCTCAATACCACATTTTTTTAATTTTTTTACCTATGACTAAGTATTCACAAGACATTTCTATTTTTTTGAGACTTAGTAGGAATGGAGATTTACTTGGGTTAGTTAGGGTTATACCTTATGATTATTAAAGCAATTCAACTTGTTTCTTTTTTCTTGCTTATTACATGACATGGGAGAAAAACTGTAATCCAAAAAACTGAACCATGAATTGACTCAGTTCTAGGTGCTACTGACCACAAGGCAAGAATCCTCAAAATGCAGGAGACTGCAAATAAATACAAATAAGACGTACAAAAGTGACTTTTTTATTGCTACCACACAACAGAGCTCTGTCCAATTGCTCCAGGCCTTGGAACATCCTTCCATAAAATTTGTGTTTTGTTAGATTACTCTGAGTAATGACATCATTTTCCCACTTCAGTAGCTCCTTCTTACAGGCCAGCATTTTACCACAATTAGTTTTTAAAACTGGTGTTCAGAAGATTAATATATTTTTCCTAGATTATGAAAATAAGAATATGTCACAGACATAGAAAATGGCAAAATGCATAAAGAAAAAACTATTTGAGTTACAATATCAGATTAAATAGCATTACTGTTAAGTATGTCACATGCTAAAAAGTCAATATCTGTAAATTCTTTTAGGTTCACTGTATACAGGATGCTATAGAAATATTTTTGTCTGTTGAGAGATTACTAGTTATACGAAACATATAAATAGACAATTGCAATGTAAGTCAGTGGTGACTGTCAAATAGCTCAGTACATTAAGAATAAAATAATGGAAAGCAAATTATCAAAAGTAAGTGCCTCAAAAAATGCTCACCACTTATACATAAACAATACACATAGAAATAAAAGTATACTAGCAGTCATTGAATTTCAACTTATAAAAGTACTGTCAGAAAAAAATAAAAAGGAAATAGATGTAAAAATGTAAGAAATACTAGGCTAGGACTTTAAGGCAGTAAGTTCAGAACAGGTATTTCCCATCCCATTGTTTTTCATAATCAATACATACATTTAAGAGTCAGTCTTCGAGCACTCTTCTGAGAGCCTTATGTAATTTGTTTGCACATGGAAATTCCTCCTATTTTTCTCATTCTTGTTTTTGGCTGACTGAAGTAACATTTCCTGCTCAGTATTTTCAGTGTGCAAGAGATCATTTGAGTTATGCAGAAGCTTACTTTCTCTTTTAGATATTAGTAAGCCTTCAGAAATAAATAAATAAATAAATACATTAATTAAAATAATAAAAAAAACTTAGATACTCCATTGCATTTGTGTACTGATAAGTACTTCTATTATACATGTTTTTACATGCATGTCCCACTGAATATTTTTTTTTTTTTCAGTTACATTACACTTGTCTACTCAGACTTTACATTGAGAATACTTGGGAAGAATTTTTCTCTGCTGGTCTGTTTAACATGCTGAAGTCCACAACTCATAGTAGTGCTGAAGGAATGGAAAATGCATACACATGAAGGTACACAAAGAACTCAAGTAGCTTGTATGTACATATGCACTTTTACATGTATATGTGTGTGTGAATGTATAAGTATATATAATATACATCTAATTATATTGTCACCTTTTGGAGAAAAGAAGCAAAAACATTCTGTAATTCTTGAATCAAAACAGCCCTGTAGAGTGCAAATTTTTTTTCCATGTGTTTGTCACAACATATATTATCCACCTTTTTTTTTTTTTTCAGTAGCCTTACTTGTTTTTTTTTTTGCTTTTGCTTTTTAATTCAAAGAGAATTAGTGAATCTTATAATCTTATTCATACAGTACCATGGAAGTCTAATATCTTAGTGTTAGAATAGTGTTAGAAAGTGTTCTAAGTGTTCTTTATTATCTTCCACTATAAAGAGGTAAACCATTGTTGCCTACCACGGACCTTTTAGGTAAAATTTATTCTCTAATTCTTTAATGATAGTTAATCCAAGTTATGCCAAACAAAAATGAGGCTTTAGCTTGCCAGGGACACCATAACAATTATTAAAGACCTGCATTCACGATGCAAGGAGATGCTAATACTAGGACTCATCCTTCATTAAACAGTGCTTTCTTTATAGAAATAGGAGACCAGATTCTGTATGTAAGTGGAATTCTTCACACTTAGACATCTGGAAGTTAAGATTTCAATATATGTGTGTATATATATATATATGTATATATCATCAAAGCTCCTCCTTGACGTGAGAGGAGAGTAGATTTCCAAGAAGTCTCCATATTCTAAATCGTTTATGATCTTTTGGATGAAACCTCAAATGAAGCTATTCCTCTCTTTCACTAACCACAAGAAATTTGTCACCTTCAACTAAACATTTAATTTTCAGATAGCTAAATACAGGTGAGAGTAATCCAATCACATTCTGGTTTATTGTCCAAGAGAAGGGTAACAGGAATGGTTCAGATAGTATTAGACTTATTACAGGTAACTTAAACATGGGACCTAAAAAAATGCTGTATAGTATGTTAATGTCATTTATAAGGAAATCCAGGAAGTAATTTCAATAGTAAGGAAGAGGTAATCCAGTTTGTCACTCCTTAAATTGAATAAATGTTGATCATGGAAAGTGATTTTTTTTTCTTCTGATATGTAATAATAGAAATGACAATATTCAACAACAACATCTAGTTTTAGATGGTCATTTAAACAAAAGGGCAAACTTCTCATATTTACAGATTCCTTG